ACAATATGAAAGATATATATTATATTGCTGGTTACATACTGATGGCATTTTAAAATGGCGGAGTCAAGTAGCTAGTGCGCAGGCTTAATGAAAACGCATCAATAAGGGCCAGCTAGCAAGCGACATCTACGAAGGTACACGAAGGTTCATCTAAAGCCGGTATTTAGACGGTTTTGAACAATTCTAATGCTAAGCATAGGTGTATCAGCAGCAACAAACGCTTTCAACATCTTATGCAAGGCTTAGGGCAGGTAGGATTCCTTTACTAGGAGTACCTCAAAGTTCATGGGCTAATATGTTTCCCCGGTCCCAGTGGTATAAGAAGTTAAAAAGTAATAAACGTAAAGCTGAAGACAAGAAATGAAGATGTAGATAAGTTGTAAGGATTGAAATTCGCCTGCACGGATGGCTTCGTCCTTGCCCTGCAATACCCTATATAAGGAATAACTACGGGTTTGCGAACCAGCCAGGCAGTGGGCTAGGCTGTACCGTTTGTTGAAATTTTAAAAATTGACCATGTGACCATTGAAAAAGGGAAGCCGGAGGGTTGTGGATACTGCTTGCTGCACTCAGCCTTTGGATCAATATGACAGTGATGGGACCGAAGCACGTCAGGAACTAATCAGTAATGGCTAAGTACCACTTGTATTCAGAATTCAAATATGGCACATGTACGATGCGTGCGACTGATCCGACTGAGACCTCCTGAGTCTTGTGGTTGCGGTAATGGATAAGTTAAAAGAACAAGGGTACTTAGTGGAGACAATTCACGGCGTTATCCTCTATACTCCCTTACCGCATGCTTTCGTGGTGGCGTTTGTGCTTTCCATAGTGCAGTCATAAGGGTGGATTGTACGTAGGAGTACTCAAGTACGTCAGGAAGCGAGCGTTGCAGACTAAAGTCATCTTGTACTCCGATTGCTATTCTAAAACCCTAGAAAATGGGTGCGACGGTTACCGTTAAAGTCTCTTAGGTGATACGACGGTAAAGACAATGAATGTGGATGGGTTTTGAGCTCAAGGTGCTTAGATGTCGTGCACTACATCGTAGGCGTCCTCAAGCTACATCAGGTCCAGTTTAAGGAAGTGGTATTGCGAATCGCAGATATGGAAGATGCCTTGTATATTGTCAAAACATAGGAAGCGTTTTATCTCCTGCCTGAATGCCTGCAAGTTTTGGATTTCTCTTATTCTGGAAGGCAACCTGTTCCATATGTTCACGTACAGAACTAAGCAGAAACGACATCGCAGTCTGTCCTTTGCCTATAGCGGGGTAATTGAGTGGCCCTTGTTTCGGAGTTTAGATTCAGATGTGCTCCTTAGGTTAAAACAAGTGGCGTTACTGTGCAGCTTCCTATGAATTAGCTTATGTGAGTAGCACAGGCTAAGGATAATGCGCCTTTGCCATAGGGGCTGAATTTTATGGTTTTCGCACCTTTGTCGGCAATTCAGCCCTTTCTGTGGTGGAGTCACTATCTTCGTAAAGCGCCGCTAAGCATTTGAAGCAGAACACTGTCCGACTTCCTTAGGTTGCTGCATCTAGAAGAGCAATAATTCAGACGGTGGCCTAACGTTGCTCTTATAAAGCTCGAGCCTTTCAGCTGCGGATTATAAATAAATAAATAAATCTTTTATCCTCGACTATGCGAAACACGCCCATGGAGGCATGATCAGATATGAACATGTGTACAAACATTTTATGGTAAACTGTAACAGTGAGAGTAGAAAATCGTTCATATGTCCATGACTGGAACAGTACAATAAATAAATAAATAAATAGTTTATCCTCAGTTTCATAGACACACCAACTCAGGTATGATCAAGGTTTGAAAACAGATGTGGATCACGACGATACATCGGATGCAATCGTGTGTAGTTGAAACGATGTCGGGAAGAGTTGATGTGTGAGTCTAGTCGACTTGCCAGTATGTAGTTGTGGGCAGTGACTTTATTCATTGGCGAGTCACATCCGCCACGACGCAGAGTTGATAAACAGACGTTTGTGGCTTTTTATAGGGA